AATTGCAGCCTGGATACACTTGCCCAATTCAAACTGAGTCCAATTTGAATTTATATGCCCATGGTTCTCAACTTTTCAAACCAATCTGTTAAAAGAAAACCATTCTTAAAAGGGCACTTGTCCAAATAAGTCAATTTAACTCTATAAGGGATCATTCCTGCTAAACCAAAGCATATGCACCTTCATGTATCTTATCAGCTTCTCTTTGGTAAAGCGAGTTTTAGCACATTTAAAATGGGTAGGGAAGTTGGCAGAGTGCCAGGTGAAACAACGAAATGTGGTTATAAATTTATCTAATTCTAAACATTTGACTACACAATAGCCTGACCTATTAGAACGCATAAAATGTATGAGAATCCTCCACTGGGGTGTAAGGAATAAGACATTAAACATAAAAACAATTACACACAAAATAGCCCCCGATTTGTGGAAATAACACACTGTCAGACACATTTCAACATTCCTACATAATAACACATAATACAAAACAAACTAATTAAATATCAGTTGCATATCTTGAGACAACTGGGATATTTTATGTATGTATCTTTTGAATCCTGGAGCACAGTCTTGAGGTTCAAAAGTGAGAAGATGTCCTTGCAATTCAACTCCACCCCCCTTTGTCAGCCGCACTTCCCCTTTGAAAGAAATTGCTGTGGCCACTTTGAAAACTTTGGTGTCTGTTGTTGTTGCTGCAGGTAATAGTCTCGTGGTGGCGAAGTTTTTCATTGGATCTGTAGTAACACATCTGTAGAAGTGATATCCTGTAAGGGGCAGGGTTTTGGGGACTTAAAAGACAGAGTTAGAAAAGGGAAGGGGCAAAAGGCAAAAAGGATGTCCTTCAGTTTCCGTTGGAAGCTGCAAATAATAAAAATCTTAGCGGATTAAGCATTTCATTCATTCCAATATTATTATCACATTTCCATATAATTACTGTTATTATCTGCCAAGTTTGTTTGCTTTCCTTCACTTAGTTTGGCTGTGGAAGAAACGGAGGGACAAAACCTTTGTTAATTTGAACACAATTGGCAAGTTATTAAGCATTTTGTTTATGTGGGTCCGAGTTCACGTATCCTGTTTTAAAGGGAAATTTTTTATTTCCTTTGAAAATCTCTGTCAGGAATGCTGTTCCTATGATGCATACAAAGCCTGTTATAAAAGTTAAATCCCATTGGGGTGGGGGGGAGAACTAGTCAAGAGTGGAACTCACAGTGGGAGCGCTTTAATATTTACCTGTGAAAATAATTTGGTATGTTAAGATTTGAAACCTGGAATAAAAGTTAAATCCCATTGGGGGGGGGAGAACTAGTCAAGAGTGGAACTCACAGTGGGAGCGCTTTAATATTTACCTGTGAAAAGAATTTGGCATGTTAAGATTTGAAACCTGGAAACCTCTTGACTTTTGATGGGCTAGTACTTAACCCATCAAGTCTTACGTAGCCCCTGGAGCAAAGGACACATTAAGGGTGATTTCCCTCAATGGTTCCAAGTTTTACATAAGGAAATTTGGATAAGTTTCTCCCTGCAGCCCAAGCTCTCGAAACCTCCTCTCCCCCCTTACAGTTCCCCCCTTCCTCTCTCTCTCTTTCCTCCCCCCTTTTTTTTAGCTGATCTAGCCTCTGTGCATGTGCAGAGTTCATGTCTCAGCAAACCTTTTATACTATTGAAAATGTTGAATCTTTTGGCTAAATTACCATTTGAATAAGGGAAGGAAAGGGTAAGGAGTAGATTTTAAAAATAGGGTTAGATTTTAAAACAAAAAAGAGAAACTCGGTGATTCAAGTATTCACCAAAGCTAGCAATTGCAGCCCAAGCAAAGGGACTGCTTCCTTTAAGTACAGGAAAGGGCTAATATCCCTCTGGCCATTCGAGGAACAATGCAACGCCCTTATATATGGGAAAAAATGGCCAGAGAGTCAGAATTCATAGGATTTTTTTAACATTCTCAGTCATTTCAGCCTTAACATTTGCAGACAAAATTTTTTTTTTCCTGCCCTTTATTTACAGGATTGGTCAAGGCGCATATGTATTTGTATGTGCTTAAACTTTGAATTGACTTTGAAGCCTGATTTTTAAATAGTAGACAAAATGATAAACACTGTAATCACTCAAATGCTTGATATTACCAGTTGTGCTTCAAAAACATCACGGCTTCACCTCACACCTTTTAAAACTAAAGAGCAAAGCTAGGCTGAATTTCAACTCCATCACCACACCAGAATTTAAGAATTACCCTCCAATGCTTGCAGACACATGTCCTTCCACACAGCCACAAATTGGGAGAGTTGAAAGGGACCCTGGGGTCATCTAGTCCAACCCTCCAAAATATAGGGTTCACAGCAAGATTTCACAGCAAGATTTGTACTACCAAAGAGACATACACATTTAAGTACAGATTTACAACTGGGAAAGGAAACATCTATGCTCCTATCATGTACTAAGGAAGAGGAAAATAAAAGTACCCAACTTTACACAGAACCCTTTTAACAGATCTTGAGATAGTTTGAGTGAGTTTGCTTCCTTAGACTAAAGAATGCAAGTTCCTATAGAAATGATATTTAAAGGAAGATTGAAGTGAACAGTTTTTTTTTTTCTAAGATAGGGAGAGGATCTTTATTAAGCATAGTTAAAACAGCCATAGATTTGATTTAAAGGGAATACAAAAGTGAACAATTTTTTCCTAAACTTGTAGAGGAATAGTAAGCCTAATTTAGATTATTATCTTTTAATAACTACACATAGGAAAGTGAGATGCAGGGTACCTTAGGAAAGATTGCTCCCCCCTCTTTGCAGTTTCCTTTAAAGGAAGCTTACTCGGGAGTAAATTTACCTGGCACAGAAGTAAGAAGGGGAAAAAACCTGAAAGATACAGAATGAAACAAGGGGGGGGGCATTTTCTAAGAAAAGAGGTCAGGAAGTCTTATAGAGACTGATATCAGGACTGGACTCAGATAGACAATTTTTGCTGGCCATGGAAGCCTCTACATTTAATAACAATTTTTCTTAGAAAGAACACTATACTTTCATAGGCATAGGCTTAATGAAATACATACACTGCATTTTAGCTTGAGAGAGCAGTTGGCTCAACTAGGCTTTTGCAGCAGAAACATTAGTTTCTTCACAGCACATTTCAAAATACTGGAACAAAAAAGACTGGAATACGGATGTAGACTCACAAACTCAAAAGTTGCAGCAAAACATCATCTACCATCAACTTAAAATCATACTCCTCACTTAAGCTACTCGGAGGAAGACTCTTTGGAGCCTCTCTCAAATAACAAACATTTGCACACTTCATTCTTCTTCCTTTTTTTTTCTTTTTCTTTTGTCCTGTTTAAGATTGATAAGGCCCAACATGGCTTTCTTAGATTTAAAATTTTTGAAGCAAGCTTGCAATTTAAAAACTATGTGCATTTAAGAACAGTCTGTGGATGCCGAGGCCACTGTAAATACAAACCCTTGAAATATTTCTAAATCTTTGAGTACATCTCTTATTCATTATTATTATTATTATTATTATTATTTTTAGAGAAACTAAGATCTCTAATGCGTGGGCTCTCAGGCTGGGCTGTTATTATATCTACTACCTTCTGAGCACCATTAAGTTTACGGTTTCAGGTTCTAGCTTTAGGTTATAGTTTAACAACACAAATTTGATGTGTTCAGCTCTCCCTAAGGGTTCACACCCTGATTTTGTTGAAGGATCCCTGAGGTGGCCGCTGTGCCCTGGGTTCCAGGTGGTGGGCCTAAGCCACCCACTAAAAGTGACAATGATCTCATACGTTGTACTTGGAGAGACCATTTTGCCCCTTTATTTTATTTTATTTTTCCCAATTGGAGATGACAAGCTGGAGGGGCATATTAGAATCCTCTCTAGGGCAAAAAGGCTTCATGGAAGCTTTGTTGCCAGGAGGAGTCCAGCTAGGGTGTTTAGTGAGCTCCCATTTCCCTTTAAGGGGGGGGTGTTGCTCAGTAGATTACACTAGGAGATAGAAGAACGGGTACAAGAAAGGGACAAAGAAGGGGGGGGTAGAGAAAAGAATATTCTATCAGTATTCAAGTTATCTTTCAGCTAAAGCAATCTCTGCCTACCAGTAAACTACAAGCAATTTGTCTAGAAACCACAGGCACTAGCCTGGAAAACCACGGGTCCCTCTAACCCGGAAAACCACAGGCACAAGCCTGGAAAACCACGGGTCTATCCACCCGGACAATAACCACGGATCCGGAATTCTACCTTAGCACTGCTTACAAAGTACCGCGCTTTCCCCAGCCACACTCCGAAAGGGAAAACGGGGAGAAAAGGAGAGAGGGAGATTTGTAGGGACGCCTCCGGATGACTCCGAGGGAAGATGTCAGAGAAATAACAAAGTACCGCGCTTTCCCCGGCCACACTCCGAAAGGGAAAACGGGAGAAAAGGAGAGAGGGAGATTTGTAGGGACGCCTCCGGACGACTCCGAGGGAAGACGTCAGAGAAATAACAAAGTACTGCGCTTTCCCCGGCCACACTCCGAGAGGGAAAACGGGGGAGAAAAGGAGAGATTTTAGGACGTTCCTGGACGACTCCCGAGAGGTAACGTCGGAAAGCAGCAAAGGTTCCACAATTTCCCCGGTCCAACTCCAAGAGGGAAATAGGGGGCGAGAAAGAGAAAGTTTAGGATGTTCCTGGACGACTCCGAGAGGTAATGTCGGAAAACAACAAAAGTTCCACAATTTCCCCGGTCCAGCTCCGAGAAGGAAATAGGGGGAGAGAAAGAGAAAGTTTAGGACGTTCCTGGACGACTCCGAGAGGTAACGTCAGAAAACAACGAAAGTTCCACAATTTCCCCGGTCCAGCTCCGAGAGGGAAATAGGGGGAGAGAAAGAGAAAGTTTAGGACGTTCCTGGTCGACTCCGAGCGGTAACGTCAGAGATAGAAGTAAGAAAAGGTCCAGCTGTCGTGGGGACGTTGCTTTCCACCCCCCTCCCAATGTATTAATTTTAAACCATACTCACGTTCGTAGATGTCCCCCGTGGATCCTGGGATCCTTTCTCTTTAGCCGGCTTGACCTTGCCTTTGCTCCCCCTGGCTGGGCTTTTGGAGACGATTGATTACCGCCCGCAAAGAGGAGGCAGGGAGAGGAAGAAGGATTCCTGGGCTAAGGTTGCCCAGTGGCGCCCGATCCCCTCTATCTCCCTCCTCACCTTCGCAGGAGAACCAAGTGTCCCTGAGCATGGTCGCCAAACTGTTACCGGAAAAATCCGAGGGCTCCCTTGGACAAAATAAAGACACCAACCAGGATAACTTGGAGCAAAACAGCAGCCTGTAGGCTTGGCCTTTATTGAACTGTTGCAACAGGGTGTTCCCCTCACTTGCGAGAGAGAGGAAAGACCCAGAAAGATGGTGTGCAAGACCTTATAAAAACTTTTGAAATTCCCATCCTCTAGGTCAAGCCCACCCCCAGAAACATCATGCATACATTACAGAAAGGAGGGGTTGAGGGAGGAGTTGTGGTGGTAACCTGAGTGTCCTGTCACCTGGCTGGTTCCTCCTTTCCCCTCCCCATGAGTCACTTCCAGGAGACAAAGGGGAGTTGGCAGTTTCCTGCCCCCAGAGGGAAGATCTGATCATTGTCCTTTGTTTCAGTCCATGCTGAATCCACTCCCATATGCAAGTTCTTTGTGATCTTGATGGTCTTCTGTCTAGGACCATCAGGGTTGGCATAGCAACTGGGCAGGGCTCCTGTGGATGTGCTGGGATGGTGAAGGGATTATGGCTGACCAGAACCAAGCCACCCCCCTTTGATAGTCCTTGTCATATGGAGTAAAATAAAAACGGAACAGTGCAAATCCGATGTATGGTTGATTTTTCTATGAATTTATAACAGAAGTGTGGCATATGTAGTGTGTGAGTGTGAGTGTGTGAAGTTTGTACAAACTGAATGATTGGGGTGGGGGGTTCCTGCTACACTTCCACAAAATGCAGGCAGAAATTCAACAGATTCAATAGGAGGCAAATTGGTCAGACTCTGGATTCAGGCTTCCCCAGAATGACACACAGAACAACAAGGGAAGTTCTCTTTTTCTAAAATTTATTTTAAAAACCAAGATTAAACATACTTAAAAGTAGGCACATCTCTTATGTTTCAGACAGAAAAATAAGAACATTGTAGAGTATTGCTAGCTAACGTACTTACAAAATGAGAACAATAGCAAAGGTTAGAGTAGCTCAGAAGTCCTCGGTTGAATCTGCATCTCAAAGACAGTAGGAATCTTCATCACAAAGACACGCATACGAATGTAGCAAGTCGACTGTCAGCATGATGGCAAACTGACAGAAGGGCAGATCACAGAGCGCGCGCAAAAACTCCTTTCCTAGGGTCTTTATTTTCCAAAACCCCACGTGGAATCGGAACTCAAATCCAATCACAATTCTTGATTATATTTAAATTCACCAATGGTCAGCTAGTTGGGTAATATCTCAGCTTGTGACAGCTGAGGCTTGTTAGTTCTCAAGATCTTGGATCAAAGATTCCCTCCCTAAATTTCTCAGAGACACACCAGGTTCCCTTTCTCCTGTAATGAGGCTTGATAACCCTTGTTCGCACAGGGACAATGCTTAAAAACCAGGTGTTAAATTACTACTAATCAACTAGAGGTTTTTTCCTTCCTGCAGATGCCTGAGATAAGCAATCCACACTCTCAGAGACAACAAGTCTCCAGCTTAAGGCACCTGAATATTTCACTTTTTTAACTACTTCCATCTCTACTTGTTGCTGCATTTTATCCGTTATTTCTTGGTCCATATTTTTGACAATTATTTTGGTTTTTTTCTTATTCAGTTTGAATCCTGCCACTTGACCAAACTGATCTATCTCTTTCAACACTTCTATTACTGAATTTATGGGATCCTCCACAGTAAAACCAAGTCATCGGCAAAAGCCTTGACTTTATATTTCTTACATCCCACTGACACACCTTTTATTTGTTCATTATTTCTTATCATCTTAAGTAAAACCTCCAGCACCACGGTGAATAATAACGGTGAAAGAGGACACCCCTGTCTTGTACCTTTTGTTATTGCAATATTTTCAGTTGTCACATTGTTAACTATTAATTTTGCTCTTTGCTCCGTATATATTGCCTTAATACCATTTAAAAACGTTTGTTCCATGTCCATCATTTCTAGATTCTTTAACATAAATTCCCATGAAATATTATCAAAAGCCTTTTCCGCATCCACAAATATTAACATTGCTTGTTTATCACTCCTGGCAGTCAGATGTTCAATTATATTGATTATGTTTCTTATGTTATCTTTCATCTGTCTGCCTGGAAGAAACCCTGCTTGATCCTTATGTATTAATTCTTTTAAAACCTTTTTCATTCTATTTGCTAGTATATTTGCAAATAGTTTATAATCATTGTTTAAAAGTGAAATAGGCCTATAATTTTTAACTTGGGACAAATCGGAATCTTGTTTGGGAATAAAAGTTATATAAGCTTCCTTCCACGTTTCTGGTATTTCCTTTCTTATTAGTATGTTGTTCATTACTTCTTTCAATGGTGCAAGTAGGGTGTCCTTCATTTCTTTATAGAATCTCACGCTAAAGCCATCCGGTCCTGGTGTTTTTCCACTTTTCAATTCTTTAATTGCACAATTTATTTCCTCTATCTCAATCATCTCGTTTAGTTTATTCTTTTTTTCAATCGGAATTTTCTGCACCCCTTTTTCTTTTTAAAAAATCTTCAATTTTTTTCTTATTTACTTTTTCTTTTCTTTTATACAATTGTCTATGGAAATCCACAAATCCTTTTCTAATTCCTTTCGGATCTTCAAACTCTTGATCTTCTACTATAATTTTTTGTATTGTATTTTGCTCTTTCCTCTTTTTAATCTGCCAGGCCAGAAGTTTTCCTGATTTATTTGCATACTCAAAGTTCCTCTGCTTCATTTTTTTGATGTTCCATTCTACTTCCTGACTTATTATCATAGAAAATTGCTACTGTAATGTTTTGATATTCAATTTCAATTTCTTGTCCTGGGGTCTGGTAATTAGCTTTTTCTCATTCTCCATTATTTGTTTTAAGATTTCTTTTCCCCCTTTTTCTCTAAATTTGTTTTTAATTGTATTTGTTGGATAAAGAAACCTCTCATTACTGCCTTTCCAGCATCCCAGACTGTACTCATTTTTGTTCCTTGGTTCATGTTATTATTAAAATAATCCTTCAAACACTCTTGTTTTCTACTATTTTCTGGTCATCAAAAAGATTTTCATTTATTCTCCACGGGAAAGGTTTTTCCTCAAATCCTTTTAATATACATTTAATCGCATTATGGTCCGAAAGTACCTTAGGTTGGATTTCAATCTTTGATATTCTTGGTGTTAATTCATTCGATATCCATATCTGATCAATTCTGGACATTGATTGATTTGCCTCTGAATGGAAGGTGAATTGTTTTTCTAATGGGTGCCTTAGTCTCCAAATGTCAATTAAATTGCAGTTCTCTACCATTGAGAAAAATGTTTTTGGTAACTTCCCTTCCTTTGTTTTTCCTGTTACTCTTAATCTGTCCATTTCCACTGACACTACTGCATTCATATCACCCATTGTTATTATCTTTTGATCCATATATTCAAATAATTTATCTTCCAATTCTTTGAAAAAGTCCATTTTGTTATCATTGGGTGCATATACTCCGACTATTATTAATTTTTCACCTTGCCATTTGACTTGTACTGCCACTATTCTACCTTCTTCATCTTTAAAAATCTGTTGAGCCTCTAATTTATTTTTAATATATAATACCACCCCTCTCTTTTTGCTTTTGTCAGATGAAATGAATTCATTTCCTAATTTTTTGTTCATTAATTTTTTTCTGTGTCTTCTCATCACATGTATCTCCTGTAAACAAATAATGTCCAAATTCTTTTTTAAAAAAATATTGTTGAATTTTATTTCTTTTTTCCCTATCGTTCATCCCATTGACATTCCAAGTCCATAATTTCAACGCCATGATGATTCCGAATTAATTTTAATAATAAATTTTGATTCTATTTCTCCTCTTCCTCTTCTTTCTCTTCTTTATCTTCTTCAGATTATTGTGAACCTCCACCTTCCACCCCTGCTCCCATTGCCTCTGCTGCTGCTTCTTCTCTTTCTAACTCTCTATATCTTCTCAGGAATTTAACCATTTCATCCGGTCTTGTAAACCTGTGTCTTTTTCCTTTATAAGCAAATGATAGCCCCTCTGGAAATTCCCACCTGAATTCAATTTTGTTTTTCCTCAGTATTTGCACCAGCTGTTGGTAATGGTCGCGTTTCTTCAATAAGCGAAGTGGGACGTCTTTAAAAATAATTATATAATTTCCATCAATATTTAATCTTTTTTCTCTATTCTTTTGCAAAATTAGATTTCTTATTTCTCTATCTTTGAAAATAACTAAGCAATCTCCAGGAAATTTCTTTGCTTTGGTTGTCCTGACTTTAATTCTGAATGCTTTTTGTATTGTCTTTGCAACATCTTCTTCCTGCATCTCTAACCATTGGGCAATCTCTTTAATGAGTTTCTCCTTTATTTCTTCTCCTTGAGCCTCTGGTACCAATCTAAATCTCAAATTATTTTCTCTTTGTCTCAGTTCATTCATAGCAATAGCGTCTCACAGTTCTTCTTGAGCTCTATTCACCTCTGACACCTCTGCTTTAATTTTTTCTTCCTCCTTCTTAATTTCCCTAAGATCTAATTTAGTCTTCTTCATCCCTTCTTCCAAATTTTGTGTCCTTTTTGTCATTTCCTTCATCTGTCCTTTTATCTCATTAACTGATTCATCAATTTTTTTTACAGTCACATCTATTTTTTTATCCATTTGTTCCAATTTTGTTTCAATATTTTTCTCACTTTTCCTTATTTCTGATTTCAAATCTGATTTAAGTTCTGTAAACATCTTTATTAAGTCTCCTTTAATTTCAGATTCTTGCCTAGAACCCTTTCTTTCTGCAGGTGTCCCTCCTTCCCCTTTCTTCTGTGTGTGAGACATTCTAATAAGCTGTTCTGAAATAACTCCAATAAAGATATCCACCAGGGGGAGTCAAATTAAAACAATAGTTCCCGGCCACAAGATCAAAAATTGAGTTCAATAAAAGTCCCAAAAATTTCCAAAAATTATTTCATTTCCTTCATGCCACTTGAATGGCCACATCCAATATTTATGATTGTATTCCAAAAAGCCACCAATGTAAAATAAATGTAAAACTTTCCAAAGCCAAGTCCTTTAAAAAACCTCAACCAAATCCCTCATAGAAAGCAGAAGAAAGGCAAAAATATAATCCATATACACCAAATAAGAAGAGCAGAGTTCAATTGAGAGAGGGAAAAAGTTAAGTCCACAATCCGCAGTCTTATAAAGGGGAGAAAGTTAAATCCACAGTCCACAGTCTTATAAAGGGGAGAGATTGTGCTTCATCTATTCCGGAAATCAAAATGGCGATTCCCAACAAAAGAGTGGGGGTGCAATCTCCAGGAAATCCAAGCCGCTTAAAAAGCACTTTGACTATGTCCCTTAAATACTTAGACTCCAACACAAAAGAAAAGAAAGAAAAATAACAAATTATATCTTCTTCTCTCTGGTAATACAAGGTGGAGAGGGTGAATTATTCCAAGAGTTTTAATCAGTCTTACTTGTTGCGTAGCTCCTTTTAAAATCGAAAGTAAATAACGATCCAAAGATCCTTTCCCGACGTTTAATCCATCCACACAAACAAAAAACATTTATCTCATCTCTCCCCTCCGTCTGTTTTACTCCTTACTTGGAGCCTGTTAAAAGTTAGAAATAAAAATCCACAAGAGAGAAAAATCCTATCTCCAAAACAACCCCCGGTTTGTCTTTACTCACTGTTCCGTTCCGTTCTGAGAATAGTCCCTGTGTAGTCTTGGGAATCCAGAAAAGGCTGACCTCCTATTTTCACCTTATCTGTATCAAATTAGGTCCAAATTAATAATATTTTAGTCCGTTTAAAAGTTTCCAATTCGATTTCTTTTTTTTGGAGAGCCGATCGCTCCGGTGCACAAGCTTGGGGCTTCGCTTCTGGAGGCTAACAATGGCGTCCCGCTGCCAGCCTTTCTACCTCGTCGCTCTCGTCTCCTCTAAAAAAGAGGATACCTGGTGACCGGGGGAACCGCTCGTCGGCAGCGCCGGGATCCTGGCCCCTGAATCTCCTTTCAGGGGATTGTTGGGGGGCTAAGGCGCCCTTGTAGCACCCCCTTTTGCCTCCTAGAAGCTGGTCTCCCTCTCCGGAGGGTAAACCCTCTTGCTTCCACCTCGCGATCTGACTATTCTCAACTGCAATTGCTATCTCAGGTGTCCATTTTTTTCTACGCAATGCTGGATAATTTGCTTTATCTATAACCTCATGTTCTATGTGAGAGCGCTGAATTGAATTTTGGCCAGTAGTGATGATTAGAGGTAGGTGGTCACTTTCAGTCCTATTCTATGGTGAATTTTTTAATTGATTCGAAGGCCTCTCTGTTAGTGAGACAGTAGTCTACTGTGCTGGCTCCATTTGTATTTAAGAATGTGTACTCGCCTTCTCTGTCCCCGGGGAATGCCCCATTGGCAATGATGAGGTCAAAAAAAGCCAGGCAGAATCCGGCATAGTTGATTTGGCAATCTTTTGAATGTCTACGTGGGGGTGGGTTTAGAAAGAGGGTGCTATTTTCCTTTAGATCTCTTAATATTGGGAATTTTGTTTCCAGGCTATCATAATTTGAGCCTATTCTGGCATTCATATCTCCCATTAGGTAAAAAGGTGATCCAGGGTACCTAATTTGTAGGGAATAAAGGAAACTATGGTATTTACGCCACGTGCTCTCTATCTGTGTTTGCACTGTATATGGTGGGATATAAGCTGAAACAAGAATGATACTCTTGGATTCCAGATGCAAAGTGATCCCCCGTGCCAGCTGCTCGAAAACTGAGCACTCAGTAACTTGTGACGCCAATTGAGTGGAAACCAGAGTTACTAGGCCCCCCCTTGGTCGTCCCCTTCTGAGCAGTTTAGAGGCCTTGATTTCATAGGCGTCGTAACCGTCGAGAACTATGTTGTCAGTTGCCCAAGTTTCCTGCAGCATTATTATTTCAAAACCCGTTATATATTCACGAAATGGCTCGTCCCCTAGCTTGTTGGCCCAACCCGCTATGTTCCATGAGATAAAGTTAAGGCTGCTCGTTCCATAGTTAGCTTGGCTTCATTGTGGTGGGGAAATTGTTATCAGCTCTCCCACTGGTTCGGTAATGATGCAACTGTTCTTAGCATATGCGCGGTGTTGTTGTTCTTGGGGTTGATTTGCAGCATTTTCCCGATTTCCCGGCATTGACAGTGTTATCTGAATTGCTGGGACCGTCGGGGGGTCTTCGTCAAAGACAATTAAATCTGTCTCTGGCTTTCTATGTGTCCCATTTCCCTTGGCATGGCCGTCACTTGGCATTGGCTGATCAGATTCCAGCTGGAGTAGAGAGTGGTGAAATTCTGGATCTGCCAAAGGCATAATAGAGTGTCCTTTCTTTGAATTATCTAGATTGGGCTGTCGTTCTTTATGTGTTTGGCCTTTTTGCTCTGATGTTTTCCTCTCCAAGGGAGTGTTGCAGCTGGGTTCACCGCACATATTCATCTTTGACGGCCCTTCCGAATGAATCATGGCCCTATGGCAAAAGCCCTTCTGAAGGAATGGGTTTCCCAAACCCCAAAACTGACTGTGCAGGCAGTTTTTAAACTGCACCAAAATCCCCATTTCTCCTTAGCTAAAATGCATAAACTTTAGCCGTTGAGCAAATGCAAAACAAGAACACAGCTCTCTCCCTTATCAGTTTGACGGCAAGACTGGCCTTGACTTTACCAGTAGAACAGACACAGACATATCTTATGTCCTGACCACAAATGACGCAGAGACCCAAGTCTGGGACTAACACCAGAGCATGTTCTCGGAAGTAGTGACCTCTTGTTCCAAGATAGGAGTAGGAACAGGAATATCCTTTTATGGTCAGAAGTACAGGAAGGAAGATCCTTTTATGGTTGAGAGTACCAGAGCAGGAACATATGTGATGTCAACCTGTGTACGTACGCCAACGTGGTTGGGCTCCTAGGGGAGGAGTGAGAGGGTGCCTGGAGGATATATAAACTGCATGAAACCTGTCATTTCTTTGGACTTGCTGTAGACTTGATCACGCAAGTGCCTTCTGCTATCTGGAGAGCAGAATAAACTCTTTCTTTGAAGCAACCTCGGTGTCATTTTGACTTCCTTCCTCCTGTCCCGGAGCAACGCAGACCCAATCGGTGAACTCCAATAAGGCTTCACTTCGACAGAGAGGGCGTTGATTGCTTGGGGTCGGTCCGGCTATATGACAAGTTTGGCAGTAGTTGTTTTCGTTCTGTGTCTTTAAAAACACGCTTTAAAACAATATTATAGTCCTGTAAAATGGCCCTATATTTCAGTAGCATTTTAGGGGTAGCTGAGTCAGAAAATGTCAGCATGAGTCTAGTGTGCTGGGGGTCCGTGCAAAGCAAGTTTATCGCGATCAGAGTGTTGCAATGGATATTTAGTAAAAGCTTAAAGTTTCTCTTCACACTGTCGATTGATTTCCAGTAAGGCAGCATACTATTAAAAGGACATATATCGAGAGCTACTTGAATACTTTGTAGGATCAGTGTTATGTACTGAGTTGAATAGGATCCAAACTGCAGCGGTCTGATTGGTCCTAGAACAATAGGATTCAGAATGCAGCAGTCTGATTGGTCCTAGAACAATGCAGGAGTATGATTGGTTGGCAGGAACCACCCAATCATGCTCCAGATTGAAGTGAATCCACAACCTGATTGGCTTATAGTAGGATTCCGGAATTAGCCAATCATGTGCAGCCCATTGTGTAAATAATGTATATAAAGCAGATACTGTGAGGGGACTTTCATTCATTTCTCCTCACCACTATGAGCTGAATAAAGAGCATAAAATCACTTTGCGACTCTGAGTATATTTCACTGGCGACGAAGGTGGGATCCCACTGAGCTGACTGCCACACAAAGCACTGCAGCACCGCCACCTGCCGCACCGCTGCCTCGCACCGTGTATCCAGGCTTCAGCTCCGGGACACAAGGAACTCAGAATGGCAACCGACAGCAGCTTCTCGCCGTTCAACCCAGCATCTGGAGACTGGGAAGCGTACGCCTCCCGTTTCACCTTCCTCCTCGAAGCCAAAGGGGTCACCGACGAAGAAGACGCCAAGAAGAGGGCGATATTCTTCAGCGTCTGCGGAGAGGAGACGTTTGAAATCGCCCGGGCTCTCCTTGCACCTGAAGACGTCGCTACTGTTCCATACAAAACAATAATGGAACAGCTGAAGGGGCACTTTTCGCCGCAGCCCTCAGTGGTGGCTCGTCGAAATACCTTCTACGCAAAGCGGCAAGCCCCTGGGGAAACCATAACTGGGTTTGTGACCTCTCTCTGCCAAGCCGCCCGGTTCTGGAACTTCTCAGAGCTGGAGAACATGCTTCGTGACCGCTTCGTCGGTGGCCTGAAGGATGAGAAGCTGCAACGATGTCTTTACGCTAAGAAGGACCTAACGTTCCAGGTTGCTCTGGAGGAGGCCCTGGCAACAGAAGCTGCCAAGAGGTCGACACAAGAGGCACGGCCGAGCCTGCCATCCTAACCGAGGGTCCACCACGAAGACCTCACCGACGACTCAGGATCCGACAGGGAGGAGGTGCACCGAGTACAGCAGCGCACTCAAGCAGCCCACATACCACAGCTGCCTCGACGAGAAGGAGGGAACTGCGCAAGCTGCGGGGAAAGTCACGAGAGGAGGACCTGCTGTTTCCGCAACGCAGAGTGCAGGCAGTGCAGAAAATCGGGACACATCGCCCGGGTGTGTCGAGCTCGGCCCACCCAACGCCAGGCATCAGATGACCAATCCAAGAGCCCCAGGTCCCGGGGCCCAACGCACCAAGGCAACTCGATGGAGCTCACAGACTTCCAGGTATACCAGTTGCCCCACCCCAACGTAGAGAAAATTTATGTAGAGGTACAGATAGAGGGGGCCCCATGCCGCATGGAGCTTGACACGGGTTCAACTCTATCCATAATCTCAGCAAGGACCTTAAGGAAACTGTGTCCTACTGGGGGTCCCAAACTCAGGCCAGCCCCATTCACCCTCCGGGACTTCCAGAAACGTAAGGTCCCCACAATGGGGGTGGGGACCTTCAGGGTGCAATACCGAGGGCGGACGCGGCAACTGGACTTGCTTGTGGTCAAGGGCCCCTACATTAGCTTACTGGGATTGGCATGGTTTGGACCACTGGGGCTAGCCATCACTGGGGTGAACCACACTACCTTACAAGTGGATGTGGACGCCATATGCAAGGAATTTCCAGGGGTTTTCAATGGGAAATTAGGACAGTATACGGGCCCCCCCATTGCTCTACAGCTTGACCCCGCAGTATGACCGGTCAGGCTCAAGGCCCGCCGGGTCCCGTTTGCCCTGAAACCCCGTATAGACGAGGAATTGGACCGGCTCGTGGAGCAAGGAGTGCTG